TTACCTTGCCTTACTGACTACTGCCACAATCCTATCCGACATTCCAACCACCAAGTTAAATCCTGCAACTATTCTCATTTAACACACCCAAAAACTACTATTTTCATAAGTACACCAAAATTTACGGGTTTTTAACTGAAAAATTGATTTCTTAAAAAAAAAAAACAAAGTGGGGGGAGGGGAGTTTAGTATAGAATTGAAGTAAAAGAAGTTTGCAATGTAATAAATAAAGAGAAGAATATCAACTTAGAGCTTTTATTTTTCCATTCAAAGGTAGTACTACCATGTGATATGTGGTTATGTACATTGAAACTGTACAATAAAACTCCAACTTGGAACAGAACATGGGGTAGCAGAGAGTTAAATTAGAATAAGATACGAAAATGGCCGTACCCCACATAGATTAATGGACATCATGCAATGTCTATGCCTCGAGGGTGGAAAAAATCTGGACAATTTTTAATTGCAACCAACAGCTGGCATGATTCTCTCAATCCTTATTCTATAAAGAGTTAAAAATAGTCGACATTATAAACAAAGTCAAATGTTGAAGAAGTGCAGAGTGTCGTTACAAATACAGCTAATAAACTAAGTAAAGAAGAAGGGTTAACAGTCTATATTTCCTCTGCAAGCTTCATAATAAAATCATTTCAATTCTGTAAATCCTGAGATTCCAGAGGAAATACCAGAGCCAAAGTTGAAAAAAACTTGAGGGGAGAGAATCCCTGACGGGAAATGGCTAGGTGTAGCTGCTAGGTGTTGTCCTTGTTGTTGTGCAGAAGAAAATGACCGACATGATTTAGAAGATAAATTATATAGACTGTACAAAGGGTTGGCCAAGGCTGTACAGTACTGAAGGGTTGAATTGTGGCTCTGATTATAGGGAGGAGAGAAAGTGTCCAGATCAAAAGCCAGTGACTAAACCAACCCTAGGATTTTACTAATTTTGCATCCATACCACTGAGACTGACACTAAAAGCATCAATCTTGGGAAGGTCCCCTCCAGATTGTTTGTGTTTTGCTACAGAATTCAGATCCAAAAGTTTCTTTGTTTTTATTATTTTTTTTCATTTTTATTTAAATGTCCATTCTTATCTTCTTCAAAAGTTGTTTTGTGAGATTAATGGGAATCAGAAACAGTTGGGATCTTGAAGGGAGATTGAAGAGGGAATTTTTATAAAGATTTTTGATGAGACAATGATATGATATGAATATATAGACAAGGATTATATAATACAATAACAAAGCTACAAAAAAACAAAAGCACTAAAAGATTGTGAGAAGATGACTGACTTCAGGTTGTCTTCAATCTTCATGCTTGCAATGACTGATTCCATCTGATTTTCAAAACGGTAAGCTCTTCGATGTGGAGCTTGCGGTGAGGGACTTGAAATGTTCCGATGGAACAAAGTCTTGCGGCAAATTGGCCCTCTTCACAATTCTCCTCATGTTGTTTTGCAAACTCTGTTGGACCAATTGTTTCACAGCTTTCTTCTCCTCACTCATCATATCTTCTTCCTCTACAAAGCAATCCTTTGAAGTTCCATTTGGATTTGTAGATGATGATGAAGACCCGCAGATAGGAGCAGACACTGCTGCACTCGAATTCCCACAAAAATTCTCTGAAACTTGCTTGCCTTTATCCACTCTCAATACCTCCAAAATTCTAGAGGCTCTCTTCTGTGCTAATGTACTACCAAGAAGTGTTAATTCAAGCAAGGATGACACAATTCCAGCCTCTAGCATCGCTTGTCTATCACCATATGCCTTATGTGCCATCACCATGAGAGTGTAAGATATCTTCTCTTGGCACCCTGGTGAGTCTGTCCAATTCAACACATCAACCAAAATTGGGAATGCATCTGGAACACTGCTAATTGCTTTTCTACCTTCTGGGGTCGATACTACATTACTCAAAATCAGGAGAATTCTTTCACTTACTTCCATATCTCCCAATGTATTCAAAAGATAAGGAACCAGGTCAGTTTCTAGAACTAAGGAAATGTTGGCTGGGAAGATGGAGAGATTATACAGAGCTCTGAGGGCATCTTGCTTTGCTTGAGAACCATTTTTATTACCAAAAATCTTGAGGGTTTTTACCAAGAAAGGAATTGCACCTGATGACCCAATAATTGGCTTATTTGAGTCCAATGCACTCAAGCCAAGGAAATTTGCAACTATGCCCTCTGAGACAGATGGGTTTGGAGCATTTGGAGATTCAATAAGCTTCAGCATCTTGTGAACTGCCCCTGCTTTTACAATGGCTGCTTTGTTCCTGAAATTCAATTTAAAACAGAATTAAATGCAATTTCACTTTTGAGTAAAATAACTGCTAATACCAAAAAAAAAGAAAGAGATAAACATGCACAGAAAAAGAAAAGTGTGAGTTAAAAACTTAATCAGAAAAAAAATATATATAAAAAAAAATTGAACTACTTGGAGAAAACCGCACAAACTTGAAAATGACTGGTAGCAGGCAACTTCCGAATTACATAATCAAGAAAATGCATCAATGGAAAAAACAGAATAGATCACAAACATACAACCATATTTATAGATTAGGATAATGACACCAAACAGAAATTCCCAAAGCAGAATGCTTAAATTTTCAAGAATTTTTGTCCACAAGTAGAATTGAAGAAATCAACAGTACAAATCAGAAATAAGAACAGGAAAGAATCATTAAAGTCATACTGCGAAACAAAGCAAGAGTTTAATCAAAATGCCAATTCCAAAGCAAGGAATAAAGGAAATGATCGATCAAACGGAGAAACTGACCCAAAAAAAAAAACTAAGAGCAATTAACTCACACATCATTTCCGATTCCGAGATTGAGCAATGCATATAGTGCGGCGATCTGCGAATCGGCGTCCTCAAAATCGAGCATCCCGACCAACGGCGGAATCGCTCCGAGCATCGCTAGCGTCACTCTAGCTTCCGAATCTTCCTTCGCAAGCAGCCTCGCTTTACTAGCCGCAGCTCTCCTCATCGCCTCATCTTCGACCTGCAACTCCTTCACCACCAATTTAAACTCCTCCAAAACCTCCACCTTCTTTCTCGTCTCGGCATCAGCCTCCGCCTCCGCCAAGTTCAAGAGATCCAAAAGCTTATCCGACTTAACATTTGTTTTTTCCCCCTTCGCCTTCACTCTCTCACTCTTTTTCTCATCAGAATGCTCCAAAACAGATTTTATCGTCGTAGCAGTGGTACTTCTGCTCGCAGTGGCAGAAGAAACGACCACCACCTCATCGCTTTCAACCTCTCTCATTATCTGCTGGCGGTGGCGGGAGCTAGCACCACAGCTCACCGCGTTGACAATTTTCCGCCGGAATGCAGAACCGGAGAAGGCGGTCCATAACCTGGAGTGGTGAGCAGCGCCGGAAGGGCGGTCGAGGACTAGAGATCCGACATCATTCCGGTAACACTTTGCCATTTCGCGCGAATCAGGAATCCTACATTGCAAAGAATGCAAACACAGTGGGGAAGTCGAAAGGGGAAGAAAAGAGTCTCTCCTGGTTTTCTATTTATTTATTTAGTTTTCCTAAATATTGCTCAGTGCTCAAAGGGAACATGGGAGTGAGAGATAGCAGAGACTATAATTGAGTTTCAGTTTGTTTGTTCCTTTATATCTCGGTGCGTTACAAACAAGGCCCTGTTTGGATGCGTCAGAAAACTAAAATTAATTTTTTTTTTTTTCATATACAACCAATATTATTGAAGATGCTAACTAATTCTTAGTAGCTCAAGCCATAATGGTCCTCCATGTGTCAACAAAATTATACTTTTGTTTCAGAGATATTTTGCAATTTTTAAAATAAATTTTATATACTTCCAATGATTTTTTTGTGAAAGTGGATTAGTTTTGATAGTTAGCATGTTTGTTTATCATGTTATATATTTATTTTTTTTAATTGATAAGTTATATTATAAAATAATTGAGGAAAGTAAGTAACATTCTTTTTAAGTATCAAAAAATTATTTGACAATTTAAACTATAAAATAAAAATTATTAAATGTAAATTATTAAATAAGTGATGAGTTTCTTGATATTAGGAATCCTTTCCTATAAATTTTTGTTTTACAATTTAATATAATTTAACTTATAAAATGTAAACTTTTTAAATATTATCATAACTTGAATTAAGAAATTTATTTTTAGAGAGAAAAATGATAGTATATCATATATATATAGGTCATTCAACTAATATTTTTTAATGGGATTAGTACTTATTTGGCTTATCTTATAGAGATTAAAAAGAAAATTATTTTAAATTTATGTAGTTTTAATAAAGTATTACATGAAAAGATAAAAAAATATTTTAATTTATACTTTAAAAATAAGATATTTTAATTTTTTAATGAAA